GTTTCATATCTTTTATTTTGTTTAAAGAAGCTTACAGTTTATATGTCCAATGTAGGGCATCACTAACAAAACAAAGCTTGCTGGAGAAACTCAGCAAGTTTGGCAGCATCTGTGGAGAGAAAACGGTGAACGTTTTGAGAATGTTCTGAAAAAGAGTCACTGGACCAAAACATTTGGTTTCTCTCAACAGATGCTGCCAGATCTTATGAGTTCAGATTCTCAGCATCTGCAAAGTAAAACATGACTAGTTTAGAGATAGTGGGAACTGCCGATGCTGGAGAATCTGAGATAACAAGGTGTAGAGCTGGATGAACACAGCAGGCCAAGCAGCATCATAGGAGCAGGAAAACTGACATTTCGGGTCTGGACCCTTCTTCAGAAATGGGGGAGGGGAAGGGGATTCTGAAATAAGTAGAGAGAGAAGGAGAGGCGGATGGAAGATGGATAAAGGAACAGATATGTGGAGAGGAGACAGACAGGTCAAAGAGGCAGGGATGGAGCCAGTAAAGGTGAGTGTAGGTGGGGAGTTAGGGTGGGGATAGGTCAGACCACGAAGGACAGACAGGTCAAGGAGGCGGGATGAGGCTGGTAGGTAGGAGATGGGGCTGGGGCTTGAGGTGGGAGGAGGGGATAGGTGGGAGGAAGGACAGGTTAGGGAGGCGGGGACGAGCTGGGCTGGTTTTGGGATGTGGTCGGGGAATGGAGATTTTGAAGCTCGTGAAGTCCACATTGATACCATTGGGCTGCAGATTTCCCAAGCGAAATATGAGGTGCTGTTCCTGCAACCTTCGGGTGGCATCGTTGTGGTACTGGAGGAGGCCCAGGATGGACATGTCGTCCAAGGAGTGGGAGAGGGAGTTGAAATGGTTCATGACTGGGAGGTGCAGTCGTTTGTCGCAAACTGAGCGTAGGTGTTCCGCAAAGCAGTCTCCAAGCCTCCGCTTAGTTTCCCTGATGTAGAGGAGGCCACATCGGGAACAGCGGATACAGTATACCGCATTAGCAGATGTGCAGGTGAACATCTGCTTGATATGGAAGGCCTTTTTCGGTCCTGGGATGGGGGTGAGGGGGAAGGTGTAGGGGCAGGTGTAGCACTTCCTGCGGTTGCAGGGAAAAGTGCCGGGGATGGTGGGGAGTGTGGAGTGGACAAGGGAGTCACGGAGAGATTCCATGTCCATCCTGGGCCGCCTCCAGTGCCACAACAATGCCACCCGAAGGTTGCAGGAACAGCACCTCATATTTCGCTTGGGAAACCTGCAGCCCAATGGTATCAATGTGGACTTCACAAGCTTCAAAATCTCCATTCCCCTGACCACATCCTAAAACCAGCCCAGCTCGTCCCCGCCTCCCTAACCTGTCCGTCCTTCCTCCCACCTATCCCCTCCTCCCCCCTCAATCCCCACCCCCTCCCTCTATTTATTTCCCTAATCCCGCCTCCTTGACCTGTCTGTCCTCCCTGGACTGACCTATTCCCACCCTAACTCCCCACCTACACTCACCTTTACTGGCTCCATTCCTGCCTTTTTGACCTGTCTGTCTCCTCTCCACCTATCTGCTCCTTTATCCATCTTCCATTCGCCTCCCCCTCTCTCTATTTATTTCAGAATCCCCTTCCCCTCCCCCATTTCTGAAGAGGGGTCCAGACCTGAAACGTCAGCTTTCCTGCTCCTCTGATGCTGCTTGGCCTGCTGTGTTCATCCAGCTCTACACCTTGTTATCTCATGACTAGTTTAGCAGTGTTTTAAAAATATCCAATATGCAAGTGACTAAACCATAATAAATTACGATTATAATCATACAGAACTTGAGTACAGCTGAAAAAAAACACGTCGAAGCTATTCATCCTTTCTGATGAGTATGTGATGTAATGTGAGAGATGTATTATATATATATTTTAATAATGTTTATTTTAGAGTTTTGATTTTTAACTCGTGACATTTGGGTTTTGCCTGCCTGCGAAAGGGTTTAATTACTAACTTGTAAGTATTTCTATAGCCAGGGTGATTTCTTTATTTAAAAACAAAACAGCCTGGGAGAGCTTGTTCTTGGAAGTTTAATGGAAATGTGTTTAAATTGGGAGAGTTTTTAAGAAGTGAATGTAGTAAACAGTTGTGCATTGGGCTTCAGGTAGAAGATTTTGAAATAGAGCTGTTGATGTTTCTTGGGGGAGGAAACAGTCATAAACATTTCAGTATTGCAGAGGTCTTAATTAAAGCCGGATATATAAAACAGTTGCCATAAAGAAGGAATTTAGAGTAGAACTGTTCAGAAATAGATGACTTCAGCGTAGAGTTGAGTTTTAGCAATCCAGACCAGAAATTTTTGATTGAAACACTGAAGAGATTATTTGAAATTTAGAAATTCAAAGCTCAGTTGATGAAGGCTCAATGAACAGGCTATCAGATTCTCAAGACTGAAAATTGAAGCTCCGTTAAATTGAGTCTTCTGAAAATGGTAGAGAAGGGAATTTTCACTGCTGAGTATTGTAAATGAGTGCTGTTGGGATTAATGGAACTGCATTTTACCATGTGTTTTGAAATCTTTAAATTTCAATGTAAATAGTTAGGTTTATTCTATTTTGATTTTCACTTTTTTTGTAAAATAATTGTTAAAACCAAATCTGCAGCATTGTGTGCTTGTGTTTCAGTGAAAGATCACCTTGTTAAAATAAAAAAGATGGTCTAACAATTCAGATTTCAATCTGAGATCTGACTTGTCTAGTAATAACATCGATTGGGATCATAAGTGCAAAATGAAATGCTTCAACACAATGTCTTTAATTTAATTTAGGATGAAATAGTTGTTAGGTTTTCTGTAAGAGCACAATGGTTCCTCAACACTTGTCCAGAAAGTCCTCTTTTGGTTCCCAATCTTCCGTAATGTGAGCCTAATATGGATTAGTGGTATGTCTATCCATCGGAAATGTAATCTGAAAAATTAAATTCATAGATCATTTTGTTTATTTTAATTAGAAATGGTTTTAAAAAGTATAGATACCTTATACTTGATAGTTGTGTTATATTTTTGGCCCTTTTTCCTTGTACGCCCATAATTTATCAGATTAGTTGAAGTCAGTTTCATAACATGTATGTTTATATGATTTAGACGTGGGCCCTCTTCTTTCTGTATCATAACCTGTACAGTACTATATCCTTTAAATTGGAAATTGCCTACTTGTTAACCACCTTAAGTTTATGCAACAGTGCTTATTGTGTATGTTCTATCTGAAGTTAGATCATCAGTACCAGCACTAGCTTAACATTTTTAAAATCTTTTTAAATCTTGCTATTCTGCTTCTGAAAAATAAATAAATACAGAGCTTTAGGGGCTTTACTACATATTTGGTTTACTTTTGTGTACATTCTGTTGTTTGGAATCTAGTCTAATTTACCTTTTTATCTTACTTCAAGCCGACTTCAGACTCATTATCTAAAATTAATTAGGAATATTTAAAAGCTTTATCTGAAGCATCCAATCTCTCCGAGTAGTTATTAGATTGTCCATCCAGTTCTTCAGTCCATTCACTGGCATCTGCTTTATAAAATGGTTTAACATAAAAGATACTTTGGAAGTTCTTCTGAACAATTTTTATACAGGTTTTAAAACTCACATTTTATAGCCTGAACCAAATGCTAATCTTTCAGCTAGTTTAGTAGACAATTAGCTTAAGACTTCCCAATGGCTGTCAGTTGAACTGTTTTGCAAATTGCCAGGCACTGATAATGCAAAAAACAAAAGCCCCTTTGAATTTATGATTAACACAGAATACTGTATACCTGAGTTAAATGTATTATGGAAGGTCTCACTACCATAAGCCTATAGGGATAAATAAGACAAATTTTCTTTAATTGCTCATCTTCTGGTCAGATATTATTGTACTGAATTTATGGATTAAACTCAGTTAAATAAATATGCAATAAATCAAGTATTTTCTAATGCCACAACAGGTTAGGCTTTTTAAACTAAAAATGTTGTAGCAGGATAAATGCAACACAACTTTTCTTTCTGTTAATTTCTAGCATTGATTTGGAAGAGTTTTTGTTATTTGTATTATTATAGTTTACATGTTTGTGATGTTCACTGTTATATTAAGTGAAACATTTAGTGTAATATTTAAATTATTTTATTAAAATGTGACTTCACTTGCTGTAACGTTGGAAAAATTCTTATTGAACACATTGTAATAAATTTACTCACTTTCTTAGAGCTTGAAATAAAATTTATAAAACTCTATTTCATTACCATAGTAGGGATATGAAAGGTGTTTTAATAAATATGCAATTGCACAGATTTTTAATCTAGATTGCCTGGGTTCTGTATACAAGATTGATAGGACTCCAGTATTAAAAACATGTATTCTTTACTTTGGCTTTATTATTGTCGTGAATCCTCAGACATATAGTGAATTTCAGTGGTTGTTAATACATGTGGTGAGAGGAGGAGGAAATTATCCTCTTCCACCATCTTTACAGAGTCAGTAAAATATAAAAGCTGTCAGTTTCCCGATGTGGTCCCTTACCTTCACAAAACATCAGGTGGATTCATTCCAGAGTTTTCATGGTACTAAGGGATTTGGTAATCTAGCTGATGTGCTTTGTTTCCCATATCCTAATGTTCCCAGTATTACTTAGTGGTGTTAAATCTGTGAACACTTGCTTGTTGTGGTTTATCAACATTAGGCAGTTGCACTACAGTCAATGTCAGTTTTTGCAGTGTTATCAGATTGTCCAAGTGTACATGTCTGCCCTTCAGTTCAAGCATCCAATAATGATTGCATTCAACCAAGAGCAGAGGAGATTATTTTTAAAAACCAGTTGTCTTTTGAATGTACGTTTTGTTTTATATGTCTGATCTATTCCTAATATACTTTAATCTTGTTGTTTTGATCTGTACAGAGCAAATACTGAATTAGAATTTATATTTTAAAAATGCAGTCTGGTATCATACCAAATTATTTTTCCATTTAAAATTAACAATTTAAATATCTTCATTTTTTGCAGTCCAACAGGTAGCAGCAGGTATGCTTCATCGGCAGAATTGAGCCAGGGCAGCTCCCAGCTCAGTGAGGATTTTGATCCAGATAATGAAAGCCTGCAATGCTCAGACATTGATGATGAACGCGATGGGGATTCTTATCACTCCTGCCACAGCTCAGTGAGCTGTCAGAAAGAATCCTTGGACTGGGACAAAGAAGATAATGAACCACTAGAGATTTATAGTGAACCTGATGAATTCCAGAAGGAGGAGGAGGAAATTTATGAGGAGAAACCTAAAGAGGAGGAAGAAGTCACTGTTCCAGTTGAAATCCCACCCGAAACTGAGATAGCTTCAGAGCAGGTTGAAGAAAAACCACTAGAAATGTAAGAATTCTAGGAGGTTTTAAGTATTATATATTTTAAAAATAGTTAACTTTTGGGGAATGACGTCCCAAAATGACACCCAAATAAAATCTCATTATAACAACATTTTTCTAAGCCAGCTGTGTATTGAGACTAAAATGTAGGCTGCCTCTGACATTTTGAAAGAGCCTGGCTATAAATCAGAGTCTTTTCCTCTATCCCCATAATCGTACCCAAGCTCCTTTTCAAGTATACATCAAATTCATTTTGTAAATTACTATTGAATATACTTGCATCACGCTTTCAAATAGTGCATCCTAGTAGGATTCAAAGTAAATTTGCAGTCAAGTAGGACTGACATTTAAGAAACAAATGTGGGATTGTTTTTCCTGCAACTTCATTCCTTCTACTGTATTCTCAAATTATAATCCTTAATATTGAGTTTCTCTACAGTCTCTCTCTCTCTTTCTCTCTGATATTTTTTTCTCACCTCTTTGAGCCATCCATTTTAACTTGCATTTTCTTCAGTTTGATGGCTCTTTCCCTACCTTGAAAGGTACACTCAACATGAAAGTGCAGTCTGAATGTTATTGGGGTTGTAGACATGCTATTGAATGTTATTGGATTGAAGCAGCATAAAAGTTTGCTAATCAAAGGAATTAGGGTACAGAAAATTAACCAGCTTTCCTGAGCATTTTTGGAAAGGGTGGGAAGACCGGGGGCACAATTATCCCATCAATGCAGATGGTGAGGAAGGTGCTAAGAAGGGTGAATAATTGAATTGACACTAGAGAGAGAGTTGCCTTCTAGCTGCCTTACCAGTTAAGTGCTGGATGAGTTGATCCATGGGCAATCATCTCAACTTTCCACTAATTAAGGCCCTTAAGTGCCTGTTTAAGGGTATCAAATCCTCACTGGCCCAATCGCCTGCCTTCCTACCAGATGAGAAGAGTGGCTAGTTTCCCAACTAGGAGAAACCAGTGCATCTTGCTTACTGGGTTGGGACTGAGGGTTGGAAAGAGTGTTGGGTCTCTTTTTGTCTCAGTCAAGGCAGGAAAAGTGATCAATTAGCAATCACCCCCATCCTTCCCTGTAATACCCTGACTGCCATCTCACTGCAGCCTGCACCTCGCAAGCCCCAAAATAAAAGCACTTCTCAATATTATGTGAGTGAGTTACTGGTGCTCGTTGAGTAACTTGCTTGCTAAAGTCAGTACACTACATTAAAGAAAAAAGAAAATTAGAAAGGACAGAAGAAGATTGTTGAGCAAAGTATCTAAAGATGCCTCTAACAATAAATAAATATAATTTCACAATATGGTTGTCTTGCTTAGTAGTATTAAATTTATGAGAAATTTTATTCTGTGAAAGAGTTATTTTAATTGGTTTTGCCATACCATTATAACCTTTTTAGTTACAGAAATGAGGAGGAAGAACATTCTAATATATCGAGGGCCAAAGCCAATTGGATCCGAGCTTTTAACAAAGTTCGCATGCAGATTCAAGAAGTAAGTCTGCTTTCCTTTTCATTGTGAGTGAGACAAACCTTACTTTTCTTTCTCAACATTTGAAAAATTGCTTCACGGAAAACAGTAACAGCAGACTATCAGAAATATGTTTTACTTACTGATGGGATATATATGGCTTGTAGAATGAAGTATTTAAAAATACATACATCTAACAAGAACAAATCTGTTGATTAACTTAAATGGATAACAAAAGATGGGAAAACAAATTGATTACTTGTAGCAAAATTAAATGGAATTGTTGTGGTAGCTTATTTTACAAAATATTCTAAGGAGCCTTGAGGTAAAAGTCAATGATCGTTTATTGAGCCAACGTTGGGAGATGCCCCCGAGAAAAGATTCCGAGGTAGCACTGTAACTCAATGAGGATTACCAGATATTTATACATTATAAATCATGTAGACAGAACATTACTCAAATCCTGAAGTGGTCTGTTTTACACAAACAGCTTGTTTCTTTCACATTCCAAAGACAAGACGCCTGTTACCACTGGTCTCACCACTACCTTTCTTCGCAGGTGCCATCCTATCTGCTCTCCAAAGCCTGTGCTTTGTTTCCATCCTTGACTAAACCCCATTCGTTGTCTATCTTGGTATGGTACAGGATCATCCTAACATTTCATTTCCAAATAAGGCTTCAGCGTTAATGCTGGTTCAGCCATGTTACATTTTCACTGAAACTATGTCTGCTGCATCAGCACCTGAGTGTGATTATACAGTTTAGCTTGTATTTTAACCTGACTAAGGTTTTGGCTTAAGTAAGTGAAAATGAATCTTAAATAACTTGTATGATTATTGCTTATGAAGTTAACTAAAGCTTCTCTACCTCATTCTAATCCCAACTGGAACTTAATATGGATTTACAGGTTAACTTGTCATACCCAAATTTCCCCTAACAATTTATTTATCTACAACTGCTTTTGTTTGTTTAGTGAGTAGTGGCCCAGTAATTTTTTTCAACTTTATTGTTACACTAACAGCTAGAGTTAAGTGAGGACCTGCTCTTTCCACTCCACCTATTCTACCAAATGTTGATAATTCATAACGTGGAGTTTTCTTTCTGAGCTGCATCACTTTGGAGAAAAAAGCAGAACCCAAATGCTTTTTGATGGGGATGCGGGGAGAACATTCATTAAGAGTTATTTTGAATGCCTCTTAGTGCCAATTTTAGAAAGGCATTCTCAGGCTGGGAATTTTTTTCCATACCAATACCATTTTGGATATATTTTTTGAAAACCAGAGGAAATACAGAGGTTCAGACTCTCGCCAATACACTGGAAATGGGCTGGAAGAGTTCAGTAATTTGCATATTGTGAAGATTTGTTTTCATTTATTATGCACTTTTTGGCTCTAATTCCCAACCTGGAAGTCAGCCTGATTGACTATCTAGTCTGGTTAGTTGCAACATCTTGGTTTTCAAAATTAAGAAATTGGAATTAGAGTAACATGCAACCAGTTTTATTCAATTTTACTGCTAGCTACTGCTAGCCCTTGATAATTTTTTGATTCAGAAAAATCATCATTGTATATACTGAGTTAATGCAGCTTACTGAGTTGCCAGTTTCAATCATGCAATCCATACAAAGTTAATAGACACTGAGCAAGTCTCCCTTCCTCACCCCATTCATGCCCAATACAAGATGGTCGATAAGTAGAATTGACTAAGAGAAAGTAATCTATCTGCAGCCAACCGACATTACTAAAGGAAGCTTAATTAATGCCTATTCAAAATTGGAATGGAGGGTTCAGTAACATTTATAAGCATTGTCTGTCTTTTTTTTGGAATGAATGGGATAGGATCTCCATGTTGTGATGGAAAGGGAAGGTTATGCTAAGATAATGACTTTGGCTGGAGTTGGTTGATTTACCCAACAGCTTCTTCTCATGATGGATATTTATTCCCATGTGTAAAATTAAGCTGTATATTCTAGGTGTCATGAGAAGTAAAAATGACTTGCTGTTGAACTCTTTTAAACAAGTGTTTTTTAATTCCCACATTGTTATGTGATTTTTTTTTTGTTTCGCTTTCACCATACAGGTAGCAAAACTCTATTAAAGTACTTCAGACAGTATTTATCAAAGTACATTGGGAAATTTAATTATTAGGAGTAAAGAAAGTGTTAAAATCAGTTCTACCATAAATATTGAGCTTTCTTACTGAAGAGTATGAAATATGTTGCATTTTTGCAAGTAAATTTTGTTTTTATCACAGGCACAACTTGGGGAAGGGGTTGGTGATCTTCCCAAACCTCTTTGGTTTAAAGGAGGGTAAGTAAAACTTCATCAGTTAGTGTGTCGCAGAAACTCCACAATAAGTAGATTAAATACATTAATATTAAAATACTTTCTAATTTGAATTTCTGTATCATGAAGTGTACTTTAGGGGTGGACATTTTTGTAATTCATGTAGTGTGCTGGTCTAATCCAGAGAGAGAATGTTTGTTTAGTTCTCAGGATGCAGATGTCTAAAGTGTCTTTCAGCTTTATAATATAATGTTCCACTTTAGAGTGTGCCACAAATACTTATTTGTTGATGCTACTTATAAGAATCACAAAACTGACAATTTGATACACAACCTTCAAGTTACACAGACTTTTTAAAATTTTTTTGGTGGCTTTTGGTAAGCAATTTTAAATTTGTAGGCTTTAGCAGATTTTCAACTTGTCACCCCTTAAAATGGAGGTAGTGGATCAGGCACCCATGACAGAATCTATCCAAATTTATTTTCCATTGACTCCAGTGAGAATGAAAATTAGACAGTTTTTATGCTGGAGGTTAGTATGCAAAGATAGTTTACATCTGGGAAGCAAGTCAAAGTTCTATCCAAGTTTTATTTTGATATGGGCGACTTTGTTTTTGGAGATATTGCAGAACTCAAGAAAATCTGAATAAAAGGAGAGAACTTATCATCACATTGAGAATGGCTTAATTTTCTTCAAGGTGGGAATCATTGCGTGAGTGCAGAGCAGTTTTTAAATTTATTCTTTAGCCTGTACTCATGTAACCTAATAAGGATGTTTTTGCAGTGCGTAAAATTTCTTTATTCATTCATGAGTTGAGGGCATAGCATTTATTGCCCATCCCTAACTGCCCAGAGGGCAGTTAAGAGTCAACCACATTGCTGTGGGTCTGGAGTCATATGTAGGTCAGACCAGGAAAGAATGGCAGTTTCCTTCCCTAAAGGACATTAGTGAACAAGATGGGTTTTCCTGACAATTGGCAATGGATTCATGGTCATCATTAGACTCTTAATTCCAGATATTTATTGAATTCAAATTCCACCATCTGCCATGGTGGGATTTGAACCCAGGACATTATCTGGGTCTCTGGATTAACAGTCCAGCGATAATACCAGTAGGCCATTGCCTCCCCGGCGATGAGAACTTGCCTACTTGGAGTTGGGAGAGCATTTAAATACATGGTCTATATTTTAATCCTTTTGAAATACGAGAATTCACCATTTTCTTCCCTGAGTTAAATGTGTCGGTCAGACTCTCAATATCTGTTTGTTCAATTTAATAATATGGTTCAACGGAACTGACCAGCCGGCATAACAGCATAATTTTGTCATTTTCCCGTTTCACAAGAAATTAATGAGCTGCTTATTCACCAGGTCACAGTGCAGCAAGGAATTTAAATGCACAGGCAATGATTAGTTCAAACACTTACAAAAATTACCCTGTTTTCAGAATTATTTATAACTGCTCCTTAATGGCAAATTAGAAACCTTTTAGGAAAGATCAGCTTGGGGAAGGGGAGCCTAGGTGTGGATGTGTACAGGTGTGGATGAGTACAAGTGTAATAGTGGATCAAGGCTCAATAAGCATTGAAGAATGCAAAGTTGGCCACCAAAGTATTATAAAAATGGATCTGATGTGTTATGTCCTTACAGAATAAAGGTGTTTTTTACCTTTGACTCCACTGTGACAGAACTTGTCATTTTCACAGCAAAATGACACAATGGTATTGGTTTGTGGAGCAGCACAATGAAGGCCTGGCAGTTTATAAAACAAATGATATTGACCTAAATGAACATGCCAACTGTGGAAGACTTGCCCTCTTATGAAATTGGGAGCATCACATGGACCACAGTCATGTCAAGCTCTTCCAATTTGAATGATCCCTTACCATGTACAGATTATACTTCAGCATGATGTAAGAATAAGTCTTCTTAACGTAATTTGTATACTATGTATGAAAAGCCATATACTGCTAGGATTAGAGCAGCCCCTGGACCATTGGGTGTCACTATATTTACTTCAGCATCAACCCATGTATTATCCTACCAGGACTTAGAATTATTAAAGGGTTAGAACGGAGTACTGGATATTACACAACACAGTAGTGAGAAGATTTAAAATGAGAAAGTGATAGAAGGACATAAGTTACTAAGCAGTATGTGGAAAAAGGAGGATGCATTTTCCTGACTCTGTTCAGTGACAGTAAGGATGGAGCTTGCTACTGACCTTGAAAATGTTTTCCTCAAAGATCAATTGATCACTGGAGGTGCAATTCAGTTTTCCCGGTATTACTTTATTCCGCTACCAGCTGTGGGAGATCTCCAGCAAAATGATGTCAACAGGTACAGCTGCTAATGACATTGAAAAATCTCAGATGTCAAACAAGGAAGTATCATAATAGGATTATTAGTGCCGTTTCTGCCACCTCCAGCATGATGCCACCACGAGACACATATTCCCTACTCCCTCATTAGCCTTCCAGAAGGACTGTTCCCTCAAGGACACTCCTCCTTCATTCCCAAAACCCTTCCCCTGCAACCATTTACTCCTCCCTCCTCAGTAAACAAAGGCTGAAACCCACCTTCCAGGTGCAGCAGTGCTTTCCTGGCACCTGACTTAATATAGTCTACTGCATTCACTGCTCGCAATGTGGTCTTGTCTACAGTGGGGCAATGAAGCGTAGACTGGGTGACTGCTTTACAGAACATCTATGTTCTGTCCGCAAAAAAGACCCTGAGCTTCCAGTTGCCTGCCACTTCAACACACCATCTTGTTCCCTGGCCAATATTTCTGTCTCAGGCTTGCTTCAATATTCCAGTATAGCTCAGCGCAAGCTGGAAGAACAGCACCTCATTTTCTGCTTGGGTCTGCAGCCTTCTGGACTTATCAAGTTCAACAATTTTAGAGCTTGAGGCACTTTCTCCCATATCCTTACCCCAAACCCCACACACTAGGCCTTGTTGTCACATGGTCTGCTATTATACAGTACCCATTGTTAGCTATTAATAGTCCCCATTAATAGCCATTCATTCTCTTAGGCTGACCGTTATCCACTCTCTTTTCTGACCAACTGTCATCTCTATCTTTGGGCTCTATCTCCACCTATCATTTACTTCCCCACTCTGTCTTCAGAAAAAAAAGACTTTCCTAGCTACCATCTGTTCTGCAGAAGGGTCATTAGACTCAATACATTAACTCAGATTTTCTCCACAGATGCTGCTAGACCTGCTAAGATTTTCCAGCATCCACAGTCCTTTTGGTTTGTCAGAAATTTACATGTTGGATTTTTCCTTAACTTTTTTATAATTATGCAGCAAGTAAAATAAAGATTAGGACATATGCATTTCAATAAGGTAGAAGCTGAAGTACCAGAATGGTAAAGAAAGTTTATTTTAAACATTTCGGAAGCTTGAGCATAAATCAGAGATTTTTCTTCCACTTCTAATCACTTATGGCATGTGGGCATCACTGGCTGAGTCAGTCTTTATTACTCATCCTTAGTTATACTTGTGAAGGTGGTGTTGAGCTAATTTGATACAAAACAAGTAAAAATTTGTCATTTGGCAGTACAAAACTCAAGTATTGCTTTAAAAAGACATGTTTTGTCAAAGCAGTCCATCTTATACTTGTCAATTTTCAAAAATACCAAATCAAAGGAAAAATCAGACTTTAGACTGTATGAAAGGAGAGTGCTAATTGTTTGGAAAGCGGGCTCTGATTGGATGTGGAATTGCAGTAGAGAATGTGCCGATTAATGAGGAATGACAGTTAACTCCTAGTCTTTGTTTAAATTTTAAACCAAGCAGGTTGACCTTGATTGGTCAAGGCATTGCCCCGAGAAATGAATCAGTGAGTGGCTGTCATTTGTGTAGACAGTTGAAACAGTTGCAACACATGTTCTCTCTATGTAAAGAACAAGGCTCTGTGTTTATTAATATATGTAGCTTCCAGTACATGGAAGTGTGCCATTGTGCGAACTTGACTGGCAATCCTAAATTGGTTATCAGCATAATTCTTTTGTACTTTCAAGATTATCTGGCAGATGTTGTGCAACTGCAGAGTCATAGCTAATATTAGACTGCAAATTTTGCAGTTGTGGCCTGGCTGGATAGGTGAGTACCTACAAACAGCCAAAGGGATATGCAATTTGGTATAATTCGGCAGTCTTTTGGAGGTATGGTCTACAAGCCTGGTGACACACAGGCCCTGCAATTCATATACCGTATTTCGTATTCCTTCGGTTAATGCCCTAACTAACCAGTGTCAATCTGTCTGGTTTAAAATTTAAACAAAGCATATTAGTTAACCATCAATCATCATTAATTTGCACATTCTCCATGTCAATGCTTCTGCCAATCAGAATCCACTTGCCAATCAATTAACACTCTCTTGCAGTATAATTGTTTTTTCCCTTAAATTGGTATTCTTGCAAATTCTCCTGATGAATGCAAGATGAAAAGCTTCTGCAAATGTCTTTTTCAGCCATATTCAATAAAGTATTAGCTTGTCAAGATTCTTTTATTCGGTAAGAACTATGACTTAGTATGTCACTTAGTGATGCCACATTCAACAAAATTTAATTTTTTTCAAGGGTCTTCATAGTGAGACTGATTGCATAAAATGTGAAGTTCATGTTTTCACCTGCAAAAAAAACTTGAACAGTGCAGTGTGTGGAGGAGTATGGAATCAATGGAAGTGATAGTTGGGTATTTGCATTTAACTTTAGTTGTGGATGCCAGAAGTCAGTGTCAGATTTAGAAGAATAATGATAATGGATGCTTACAGTTACACCGTCTTTGTAATAGCAAAATCTGGCTTGTATTTGGCTTTACTGCATCCAAGAAAATTCTGATTAAATAAATGTTGAGTATGATGGTGTGACTTGATGTAATCCTTTTGTTGATGTGAAAGATGTACAAACAATTCTTTGATGTGAAGTTCACTTTTGATTTATGTCTTGATGTTTGGTTGATTTTATCCTTTGGCAAAGTGTGTAGAAACTTTGAAGTGGGCTTCTTGTTAAATTTGTTTGCAAGCACATGGGCAAATGCACCCGATTAGCCGTAGTAGCTTTTGACTTCTCAGAGGACTGAAAGCAATAACACAGGTGACTCAAACCCAGAATCCTCACATTGCTGAAGGAACTTGGGAGTGGACAGGGTGGGGTAGCACTTAAATCTGGAATTACAAAGTTCTTTGATCAGGAATTCTCAACTTCTGATTCTTCATGATGGGGAAGAGTAATAATTGAGAAGCCCATCATAACCACTGTTACATAGAAGTGGGCACTAATCCATGTTGGTAAGCACTCAAGAAAGGTTCATCCAGGGTTTAAAGTTTACACATGTAGATATAATCTCAAATAAATCTTACACATAATAATTACCTTGTACAAGTTTTATATAAAAATATAAGCACTTCAAGCTGCCACCTGTGCTGCTTGCCTGGTTGCACTACCTAAATGAAGACAATATGACCTGTGGCTGATGAGGATCTAGTATGTGAACCAACTATTTCATATGAGCTTCAGTTATGGAAATCTTTGAAGAAGTTCACCAATTTTATCTTGGTTATTCATCTTATTAGCAGGGATCATTTTAAAGCAATTTGATTTTTTCACAGACAGAGTTTGGAGTGCAATATACTGGAAAAAGAAAAGCAGCCCCCCCGCCCCCCATTTCTATATTATAAAGCAGAAAAACACTGAAAATGAATTCAGGTTATGTATCAGCACCTGGATGGCATCTTCGAATTCAAACCAAAACTGACCAGTTTATGTTTATTTTTAAAAAATTATTATTTATGTGACCCTCAAAGATCAATGCGGAAATATGTTGCAAAATGAAACAACCATTAAAAATGTAACTTAACCAGTAAATGCCATTTTAAATTGAAGGAGTTTCAAAATGGCCTTTCCCCTTCATGAAAATTAAGATTTGTCTATTATTTATAATATGCCTCTTCAATACCTATAAAAATTATTCAACATATACTGGTATTTTCACTTTTTTACCTCAGTGAATACTTATGCACAATTAGTTGTATTGTATATGTTTATATTGTACCGGATTACTGTTGTTGAAGACTGTATTGGTCAGGCCTCAAGGAGTTCATTTCCCCTCCTGTATACTGGTACTTCACTTTACTATTGCTGTCTTTTCTAGGCCTGGCGGTGGTCTTTACAGTATTGACAGTATGCCAGATCTTCGAAAGAAAAAACCCAAAAATCTTGTTAGTGATTTGGTGAGACATCTCTTTTCTCCCACAGTGACCTTCCACTTTGCTCTGAGGCATCTGATGGTCATGGAGTTGTGCCTGTTGCCTTGCTTGCTAGTAATTCTCTGTTTCTTTTACTTTTACTTTTATGTATGTTTACTTTTGTTTTTTTTTTCTTTTGTCTTTTGTTTCACTTATAACTGTAGGGGAGCAGCGGTTAAATTTCTACGTAGCATTGACAGCATGCCTGACATTAAGCCTCGGCGTAAATCCCTCCCACTGGTCAGCGACCTGGTGAGAAAATCCTTGACTGCTATATTCAAGGGATGGCACTACAACATCAACATGCAGCTAGTTTTGTGCATAGTATTTACGGGCTTCTGGGTTCTGCACTAGGCTGAAAGACTTTGGTTTCTAAAATTTTGGTCCAGTTTTAATTGATGAATGATGTTTTGATTCTACAATTGCTTAATCTGGTCATGTGCATAAGATCTCCATTATAGATGATAAAACATAGCTAAATTCATCAATGTAAAAAAAGAATATATAAATAGCTCTCTTGCAATTGCAAAGACGCTGAATTTGTTTGAATCCACCTTCAGATTGGTTGAACGCAACGTAGGAGTTGTTTTAAGAAGTTCACACATCTTGCTTCCAAGACAAAAATTTCAACCAGAAACTAATTAGGTGATTACTGTTTGACAAATATAAAGCAGCAAATTAGAAACCAAAGTTCTTAAATATTGCAGCTGCAGCTTAGCTTCATTTTCTATTGTTTTTCTGATTATGTTTTTTTTCAAAGATATTTTGTCTTCTTTTCTGTTTGTGCTGCTTCTATCAGACCTTTTTATTGCCTGTCTGTTCAGTCCTGCAGTCTGGCCCCCGAAGCCCGTAATAGAGTTCTCTTTATGATGTTCGTGTAAAAGGTTTAAATAAGTTCAATGCTTGCATCACCAGGCTTCTAAAGTTCTAAACCTTGATCAAATATCTAGTAATGTTGAAAGAATATTGTATTAAATCTCTGCCAACTGAAGTTATTACAGGTCAGAGTTACAATAGAATTTTCATAGATGCAAAATGAAAAATTAATATTGGCTTATTTTAATATTCCAAACAACTTCATAAAGTTATTTGAAATGTAGGACTTGTTGTTAATTTAGTGTTTAAAGAATGCATGATCCCTTAAAACTGATCCAATAAACTTGAGTATTGGAAGCAGAGAGGAGAGAGTAGGTGATGATGCATTAAAGTTGTCTATTAAGCAACATTTGTACAAAAACACAAAAATATGAAGGATTTAATCTTTTTTAATTGCATATCTTCAGTTAATGTCTTGTTACTGGGCTCCCCTCAGTTCAATGTCTTTCGTTTGTCACAACAAAGTGTTTAATTTCTTTATACCCATCTCGAATTGATAATATAGTTCACTATTTTTGCTGTAAGCAAGGGCTAATAAACAGAGAAAGGGCAAAACTATTAACTGTCAATCCCAAGGAAAATAACAACATAACATGATCTGCTGCATTACACCCCCACCCACCCCTGCCCCTTAGATTTGCTGAACATGGAGGCAGATTAACTGAATTTGCAGAAGACAATCAGCCATTATGTTCAACAAACCAGCACTTGGAGCGTGCTGACTGTATACCAGAGACATTTGCAGTAACAGTATTTGGGAAAGCTATACCCAAACAAGAAAGTATCTTACAGTACTGTCATCTTCCAGAGTTGGGGACTAACATCCACTCAGGCTTATCAGTGAAAGTTAAAATGCAAATTGTATTAAGGTCAGAACAGCTTGATCAATCCAACACAATCTGGAGATACTACCAGGATGAGTCATTATACAGTTAATTTCACTGCTGTATTTATGACACAGCTAGAAAGTTTTGCAATATTTTTGCATGTATACTGTTCAATAATGTCATGCAGATGAACCTGGATAGGCATAATCATTTTCGTGAAAGCAAAATCTATTGCCTTTTTTGCAGTGTACCAAAACACCTGTCCTTTTGCCATTTGATGATGTAACCTGCTGATTATATGTGATGACATAAGATTATCAGGATGATAGAAAGCTAACTGAGAAATCTGAGATAGTAGTCATTTCACAAGTTTCAAAATCTCCCCTCTCCCTACCGCATCCCAAAACCAGTCCAGCTCGTCCCTGCCTCCCTAACCTGTCCTTCCTCCCACCTACCCCTCCTCCCACCTCAAGCCGCATCTCCATCTCCTACCGACTAACCTCATCCCGCCCCCTTGACCTGTCCGTCCTCCCTGGACTGACCTATCCCCTCCCTAACTCCCCACCTACACTCACCTTTACTGGCCCCATCCCCGCCTCTTCGACCTGTTTGTTTCCTCTCCACCTATCCTGTCCTCTATCCATCTTCTATCCGCCTCCCACTCTCTCCCTATTTATTTCAGAACCCCCTTCCCCTCCCCCTTTTCTGATGAAGGGTCTAGGCCCGAAATGTCAGCCTCTCTGCTCCTATGATGCTGCTTGGCCTGCTGTGTTCATCCAGCCCTGCACCTTGTTAACTGAGAAATCTATTCTGCTCAAGATTTCCTGCCATGGATATGGGCTGCCAAACAGCTGGTAGCAAAAAAAAGTATTTTTTTCTTAAAAGAAATAAATATTGATGTGAAGCCAAGGGTCTGGGGAAGTGGTAGGAAACAAGAACATGCCACAAATCCTGCGGGCCAGTATCAGCTGAGATTTCTCCTCATGAAAGATGCTAAAAATGTGCTTATTGCTTGATGTTGTCTTGGACAAGCCACTGATGGCTCAAATTGCTAAACGCAGGCCAAAAAAATAACAGGTAACTGTTATTGAACAAAGTGGCGAACCCCTCACCATAGCTTTAGTTAATGTTATTTGGATTATAACTTGCATTTTTTTGGGGCATCACTGTAAATTTAAAATCATAAATGATGCAGAGCCCTTAACCATATTTATACTCTGCACAGCATGAGTCCCCTTTTTTATTCACCACTTCTGTCTCTTCGTCCATGATCAGTGACTTGTCCTGTGCATGGTCCAGCTGTTCTCTATGGTTATTAAAATGGTACACCATATGGTTATTGTTTTGAATGATACAGCTTGCTGTTTTTAAGCATATCAGGTTGATCTTATGGGTCATTTTATCTTTCTGTAAGAAAGAAAGTAAATATTGTTAGCATTTCAGAATTTTTATGTTGCTGTAATCGTAATTGCTATATTTGCATGACAGAAGCACATTGACTTGTGCTAATGCATTATTACCGTCCATTAAATAGCTATTAGCAGTGCAAACATTTCATCACCAATGTACTGTATTCTGTAAATTGATTCCAAGGACCACCAATGATATAGCAAATACATACAATTAGCATAGCATGAACTGTGGAATGTAAACAAAGTCTTGGAGAAACTCAGTAGGTCTGCCAGCATGTGTGGAAAGAGAAATAGTTGAAGTTCAATGTGATTCATTTTCTTTTTTAGCGTTCTGGATTCAGTATTGAATTCAACAACTTAAGACCATGAACTCTGTCATTCTTTTTTTCTCCCACCTCCCCTCTCTGTGTCTGGTTTTCTTGGTTATCCTCTTAGCAGAGTTGAATTGTATTCTGCTATTAACACCTACCAGGACCTACCTTTCCTCTGCAAACGATTACCACTCCCTTTGCCTTTTGTTGTGACACCTGTCATCTCTAATGTACATTGCCTTTAACCCTCCCTTGACCTTCCTTTATGTTCCAGTTTCTCCTCCCTATCTTTTGTTTTATAGTACAAAAACACTTTTCCACCTTCTCTTCATTTCAGAAGAAGCTTTATTTAAAACCATTGTTAACTGTGTTTGTTTCTATACATATTGTCAGATCTCGAGTTTCTGCAGCATTTCCTGTTTTTCCTTCAGATTTCTAGTATCTGCAGTATTTTACTTTGTTTTTTGCATGAACACTTAGTGTTCGTATTCACAAAAACTTATTTTTATCAACTGGGCCATGAACTGTGGTGCACACTGTGACTAACTTTATAGTTCTGAAGTGAGAAGTTTGATGTTGCACAACCTATTTCTTGCCAGTTAAAGAGATAGCAAGGTGTAGAGCTGGATGAACACAGCAGGCCAAGCAGCATCAGAGGAGCAGGAAGGCTGACGTTTCGGACCTAGACCCTTCTTCAGAAAAAGGGTCTGAAGAAGGGTCTAGGCCCGAAACGTAAGCCGTCCTGCTCCTCTGATGCTGCTTGGCCTGCTGTGTTCATCCAGCTCTA